TAAAAAGCATTAAACTTGTATTATATTACTTGTATTTAGTATTTTATATTTGATAAGATATCACAATATTAGTATTGAATTGTATTGTAAGTATTGTACAATTTTATCATTTTTTGCACACACACACAAAATTATATTAGATTTAATAATATGAAATAAATACAAAATATATTTTTTGAAATTTTCATTTATTAATATAAATAATGGTTAACAACTCATTTATAAAAATATATAAATAAATATTCTATAATCTTATATTATTTTTGAAATATATATATATATTTAATTAAACATATAATAAATTGTTAACTTAAGTGTTACGCCAATCATTAAGTAATGACTACTACTAATAGTAGTCAATACGCGGCCATCACTACTATAATAGTTTCCGTCTGACCTGTCATAGGGTCTTCCGTGATGTATGTCGTCCTTGGAAGCCGAGTGTCGGCACGTAGACTGTTGTGGCCAATCACATAATTTATCCCGGTCGTTCCACAATAGTGTATCGGGACAATGCATTTCGTAGGCTATACCGGCATCGTTGCACTGTATATAGTGGTTACAGTGTTCAGGATCGGCATACATACAGTGTCCGTGTCCACGACATCGGCTACGGTCAGGTTCGTGTCGGGGACACTGAAATCCACGTAGTATTGGCATATCGTTACCTATTAATAATAATAATAATAATAATTAATAATTATTATATTATAGCATATAATATTATTATTATAATAATTCTACTGTACATTGTATTTCAATTAGTTGATTTAACAATATGATCAAAATAATTGATAAATAAATTTTTAAATGCATTATTTATATATAATTTTAGCTAATTATTATTTTTTTGAAAACTATTAAATATTTTTATTAGAAAATAATAAATAATAATTGTGTTAATATAATAAATAACTTAAATCAAAAATAATTATTTTGGTCTTTATCTTATTGAATGGTACTACCAAGGTAATTTATCTACCTGATATACAACATTATTGTTATAGTGTTATACTAATTATCAATAAATAATTTTAGTCTGTCAATCATATATATAAATTTTTATCATCAATTAAAATAGTTTGACATATAGTATACAGTATTTTTTATTAAACATTTTTCTTTGATTGATATTTTATATGATTAATAATATTGTATCACAATTATATGCAATTGATGAATTATTTTCAATTATAATTATTAAATTGATATAAATTAATTTTTTTACTACAGTATTAATATAATATTATAAATATTTTTAAAATTTAATAATTATTTATTGATTTTGAAAAGCCTACTATATTTTCTTATAATTAATAAATAAATATTTTATGTATTAATTTTTAAAATTCAAACAAAAATTTTGTAAAATAAAAATAAATTTTATAAATAATAAATTAAAAAACATTTAACTTACTTTTATTGGATTTTCTTGATTTTTAAATTTACACATAATATATAATACGGTACAGTAAATTCAAGTAAAATCAAGTCATTGATTGTAATTAAAAAAAAATTATATTTATTATTTTTCTAAATCTACATTTATTTTATATTAGTAAATATTTTTGCTTACATATATATATTTTATTAAAAAAAACAAATAAAACTATTTTCAACAAAACATTTTATAATTTGACTAAATATATAATAATTTTTTTAAATGCAAAATATAACAAACTTATGTTTTTTATATTATAATTATCGGTCAGTCCTATTATCACAAAAATATTGTTTGACTTATTGGGCTCAGTTGTGTCGACAAGTGGCCCGATTAGGATAATCGCATACCTTATCTCTATTATTCCATTTGAGACCTTTAGAACACGGCATGACTACTGGTGTGCCGGTACGGCCTCCAGGATTGACAGTGCACTGTATGAATGTATTACAGTTACTCCAATTGGTATACAAACAGTCTTTAGGTCCCAAACATTTGGTGTTAATTATATCGCGTGGCGGACATCGGAATGGACGCGGCGGTGGTTTTGGTGTAGTTGTTGACGGACACACCCAATAACATTGGCCGTCAGTAGGTCCCTGTGTAGGAGCTTCAGTAGGAGCTTCAGTAGGTGCATCGGTAGGTGCATCGGTAGGTGCATCGGTAGGTGCTTCGGTGGGCGCTTCAGTTGGGGCTTCGGTAGGAGCTTCAGTGGGCGCCTCAGTCGGAGCTTCGGTAGGTGCTTGAGTTGGTGCATCAGTAGGTGCTTGAGTTGGTACTTCAGTAGGTGCTTGAGTTGGTGCTTCAGTAGGTGCCTGAGTCGGTGCTTTTGTTGGTTTGTCTGGACAGGTAGAGTTGACTGGCCAATCACAAATCTTTTCGTTGTCGTTCCATTCGAGACCTGGAGGGCAGTCCTTAACGGTTGGTCGTCCAGTCTTATTGTCGGCATTGACTTCGCAATGAATAAATTGATCGCATCGTTCCGGGTGTGGATACAGACAGTCTTTCGGTCCATTACAAGCAGTGTTGGCGATGTCATCGATTGAACAAACAAAACCACTCGGAGGAGTGGTTGGCTTTGGCTCGGGTTTTGTTGGCTCCGGTGTTGGAGTCGTTGTAGTAGTAGTAGTAGTAGTTGTTGGCTTCACTACTACACAGTTGGCATTTTCAGGATAATCGCATCGACGAATGGCGACATTAAAGTGCAGATTAGCAGCACAGGGCATATCGTAGGCAAGACCGGCGTCATTGCACTGTATAAATCGGTTACAGTTTTGCGGGTTTGGATAGAGACAGTCGTATTCACCCAAACAACCGGTATTTGCAATTTCATCCTTGGGACAGGGATAGCCTGGTATAATTGGCCAGGGATAGTCTATATATATATATTTATATTAGGGTAAAATAAAAATAAGTTTTGTTAAAATTAAATTTTTATTTAATTTTCATTATTATTTTGCTATACTTGCGACAGTTTGACCAATGATCAGCACAAACACTGATCCGAAAATAAAAAAATTCATTGTATTTATAAATATATTGTTTTATTTTCTATTCAACTTATTTTTAACTATTTAATAGTTATTTTGTTGAATGACTTATATATATATAAAACAAATTTTACCCAGCTTATATACTAGTAGAATATTTAGAAAAAGTTAGTTACATCATAAAAAACAACAAATATTATCTATATTTTATTAAATGATGATAATATCATATTATATATTTCATTGTCCATACATTTTTTTCAATAGAAAGTTTTATGATAATTTTTTTTGCATTTACTATAGATTAAATGTAGGCTTTTCTCTTTAAAAAAAATTATCCGGCTATAATAAATTAATTGGGATTAACATGGATGACTTCGGATTAATTAATTAATTTAAACACTGTTTCACTGGTCCGATGACGTATTAGTGACCTATCAGTAAAAATAAATAAATAATAATCGCATGAATGCAATATTATTTTAAAAATTAACAATAATAATAATTCAAAATTTATAACCTATCTAGATAAAAAAATTATATCTATAATCTTATACATATTGCACAAAAAAAATATTTTCTAGACTACCGTAAATTTTTATGGCCTATCAATTAATTTAGACAGTAGTTTAAACCTTTGTACCGTTTTTAAAAAAAATTAATAAATAGATATTTAGTACAGTTTTCAATATTGATATATTAGGTATATGGGAAAACACCTGATAGGTTATCCATCCAACATTTAATTGATTTATTAGCATGGTTATATTTTCATAATAATAATAATCATATTTCATAATAATACTAATAATATTATAAAATAACAAATCATAGACATTAATTCAATTATCTTATTATAATTTTTATTGAAATAGTTAATTGTAAATATTATAATAAATCAAATATGGTGTTCAATATAGATGTCATAAATTTGATTTAAATATTTAGGTAGTGATACAAAAAAAACAAGAATTTACTATTAATTTTATTAATAAAAATTTTGATTTACTTCTAATTAATGTCTATTTGATTTACACAAACATATAATTAGCTCTAAATTGTTATATTGATAAAAATAAATAAAAAAATATAATCAAACGAAAAAAATTATTTTAATTCATAACTTAATATCATCAAATAATTATAATTAAATTATAAGCCAAAAAATTGTCATTTATTTATTATTTATTAGTTACTAAAATAATGAATAGTTAAAAAAATAGTCAAAAAATAATGATTTCAAATCAATAATAATTAACTTATAGTTAAAAAAAAAATCAATAAGTGTTTGTGTGTATATGTATATACTGTATATATATATTGTTTTCAATAATTATCGTATAATTTTGGTATTAATGAGTCCTAAATTTAATTAATTAAAGGAGACCAAAAAAATTATTGGTACCCATACTAAACACACACCCACCCACACATAGACCCGCACCTCTCATTTTAAAACAAGTAGTCTAATGTGTATGTGTGCGTGTGGGGGCACCCGGGTAGAACACCATACAAACATACTGGCGCTCTTAGTGTCGGTCCCGAGGCGACACTGACCGCGAGGGCGGTGTTCGCGGTCGGCTCCTTGAGTCCGATCGGCTTCGGCTACGACTGACTGAACGGCTCGGCGATCGTGCGTATCGGCGCTTCGGTGGTGTACGGGAACTGTTGGGCAGTCGATAGAGAGGACGACAAACAATGGGAAAAATAACGATTAATAGTTAGTAAAAAATATATAATAAATTAATCATTTTTTTCAAAAAAATACCATTTGCTAGAAAAATAAAAGATAATTTTTTATATATATATAAATTTGTTAAACAAATTGATAAAATTAACTTATAATCAAACAACTGTCAAAAAACTATGTGGTTTTATGGTTAATCACTTACCAAAAAAATATATACAATAGAAATATCAATATATAAGCTCTTAATTATACTAGTAATAAATAATATGTCACTAAATAATACCTACTAATAATAAATTATAATAAATATTAATTACTTAATCTAATTCCTATATTTTTATTATTTTGTTTTTGCATAACAAATCAACACAATTGTCAT